GGGCTCAGAGTTGGTGTCCAGAGGGACGGGGCCTCAACAACAGGAGGGGGCCTCCGGTTTGCATCTGCAGCCCCGTGTCTGAGGGCCACGTCTTTGGGATGCCGAGGGGCACGCAAGACTCCAGGCCAGCTTGCGAAGACTCCCGAAGGGCGCGCGAAGACGCTGCGTAGGCAAGCTCGCTGGAGCGCAGGAGCGCAAGGGGCCCCAGCACCCAGCAGGCTACCCAAAAAACGATCGACCGATGCCCCGCTCGCCCTCTGCCTGACTCCGACTGAGGCTGTGATGCTCAGCTCGAGTGGCTTGCAACCCAAGGCCGTGCGCTCACCAACGGCGTACTTATCGTGAACTCGGGTCGCTTTGGGCCCACGTGGTGGAGGAGTACAGATGGTTCATTTTTAAGTATTCGAAAATTCTTTGGTTTTTGGGGGGCCAAGACCCTTTCGTTTCTAATTGTTCGATCCTGGGCCTCTTCCTGGCCACCTAGGGGGCCAGGAACAATAAGAAACGAGCACAGTTAGAAATGAGCACGATTAGAGATGAACGACGTGTAGTCTTACGCGATCGGGGGTGGCGCGATGGGAGCCTGCTGACGGGCCAGGGGGGGCAGCGGCACAGGCGGGCGCGGGTCGAGCGGCACGAACACACCAGATTTCCTTACTGCCGCCTCTTCCGCCCACGCGTTATTTCCCCCCGCTTCTCCACGAGCGTTTCCCTGAGAGTCTTCGCTCTGTCTTCGTGGAAGTGGGGTGGGGGGGAAATGATGAGGAGAGGGGGTGTAGGAACCTGTGAGTGGGAGGGAGGGCAGGGGGCGGAGAGTCGGAGGATGGGGTGGCGGGGGGAGGCGTGGTGAGGCAGGCGGGCAGGCGGGAGCGCCGAGGGAGAGAGAGAGAGAGAGAGAGACACAGGCACAGAGACAGAGACCACAGAGACAGCAGAGACGACAGAGACAGAGCTTGAGGCAGGCAGAGGCAGAGAGAAGGAGGGAGACGGGGAGGGAGTGGGAGGAAGGCCAGTTTGGGGGGGAGGGGCGGGGAGGCATCGGGGCAGGGAAGGGGGGCGGCGGACGGGGAGACCTCGCAGACCGCGCCGACTCCTCGGGGTCGGCTCCGCCCCCGTCGCCGACCGACCTCCGGGGCAGCCCGCCTGGCACGCGGCGCCGCGGCGCCTTCGGCATGGTCTCCGGAGGCCCCCGCGGACGCCCCCAGAGCTTCCGCCGTCCCGGGGTCCCTCTTTTGGTGCCTCGCCTCGGCCTCGCGCCCCCCCCCGCGCCCGCGGAGGCCAAGAGGCAGCGGGAGCTGGAGGAGCCGCCCCGCCGCTCGGCAGGGGGGGGCGCGTCTGGGCGCGTTGGCGCGCGCGCCGGTATATATATAGCGCGGGGCGGGGCGCGCCGCGGGGAGGGCGGGGAGGAGGGGGGGCCGAGCGCGGAGGGGGAGGAGGATTTCTGGGATGATGATGTTCCAACCTACTTCAGCCTGGATCACCAGAGAGGATTTCGAGCGCCAGAAAGAAGGACCGAAGCTCGATGGTTTTCACGTGTCGGGCCCTGGGAGACACTCGTTCGACACTGTTTCGACACTCTTTCGACGCTTTTCCGGGTGCTCGAAATGATTTCTGGGATGTGGTCCTTAAGTACCATGGGAGCAACATAAGTCTAGGCTTCCTAGATGGCCGCTGCATTGGCGATGCGGCGCGATCTTCCGACCCCATCTACTCGGACCCCATCTGGGAGGCCTCTGTGAAGTCGGACACGTCTCCCTATACAGGAGGAATCTTCAAGAGTAGTCCACAAGAAATAGTCTGGGGACGAGTGTCTTGGACTATTGCTGCATAGTTTTGTTGGACTATGTTTCATTTTTCTTCCAAATCCGCCTGTGGGAGGACATGCCCGACCTAAGAGGAGGAGGGACGGGGAGGAGGAGGGACTCACACCACAGTTGAAACCCATGCCAAGAGACGCCCTGCGTGTCTCCAGGGAGCCCTGGGGTTCTCTGGTGTCGATGGTTCTGGGATGGAAAGCGTGACGCTCCCACACAAGAAATCAATAGACGTCCTGGGGTCTCAGGGTTAGGTTTCTTGTGGAAGGCTTCTTGTGGTCGAGTTCCTACCGTAGGCCTCCCGGATGTGGTTGCGGTCCGAGTAGATGGGGTCGGAGGATCGTGCCGCATCGCCGATGCGGCTCGGTGTGGAGCCCGAAGTTCTCTCCACGCCGACGGCGCCGATGCATCGCCGGGACGTCCTGGGCAGCTGGGACGTGCGGCTGTTCGGCGCAAGCTGAGCGGCCGCGGGCAGGCACGCCAGTGCCCCACCCCCCCACGCCCCTCCGCCCGGGTGTGCGCTGCGCGGAGTCGACAGAGTCGCTCAGCGGCATTCGGAGACGGCCCCTGCCTCCACGATGGGGCAGGGGCGTGCACGGACGAGGGCTTTGCCCTGTCGCCGGCGGCCAGAGGAGGGCCTGCCGTTGACACTCCGGGTTTGGGATCCCGGGCCCGCTGGGGGAGGGGCCGCGCGACGCGCTGGGCTCCTTTGCGCGCGGGGCTCCTTGACGCTTCGTGCCTTCCTCCCTGCGCCCCAATCTACACTGGTTGCGCAGCGATCTGCCGACGCCAGGTTGCTGGCTTACCTTCCGGGGGGGAGCCTGGGCATAAGGCGCGCGGATCCCCGCCGGTGTGGTGCGGCTCTCGCAGGGGATGCGATTGCGGAGGGGGGTGTCCCGTGTTGCGGGGGGTTCGGTTCGTCGTCGTTTTCTTCTTCGGGGGGCTCGCCCAAAGCTTGTTTGTATAGCTTAATTCCCGCTGGCACCGAATAGTGTCCCTTACATGACTTTTCAGCGTGACAACTGATATCCCTGACTGCGATTGGCGATTGCCACTGCCTTCGGCTCGGGAGGGGACTTTCTTCCCCCCTGGCACAGACGGGGGCCAGGACCAGTGCGGCGGCCAGTAGTCTCATCCTCGGTTGCTGGTCGCCCTGCCTGGCTTTGTTTTTGACTCCAGCTAGGCTTTGCGTGGCCAGATTCTTCCACACTTTTAACTACTCTCTCGCGCCTCGCGCGAGGGCGGCTAGGCGTCGAATGGCCTGCTCGCCTTCAACACCTACCTACTGCCGACGCATCGCCGACGTCGCCGGGCCGAGGGAGGCAAAGTGCGAAGAGGGAGGATCGAGGAAGCGCAGACATGGATTAAGGCAATGTGGATTAGTGATGGGCATCGTGTCTATACAGGATATCGACGAGCTCCGTCGCCAGACTAGGCGGATTTGGCTTGGGGGGTACTGCATCGAACCATAGATCCGGCGCCCGCGCGGCAGATCCACGGATCCCTAATCCACGCTGGCGTGTGCCCGAGAGGAGGAGGGACGGGGAGGAGGAGGAGGAGGAGGAGGAGGAGGAGGAGGAGGAGGCGGAGGAGGCGGAGGAGGAGGAGGAGGATGTTGTGTGTGAAGACCGCTCCTCTCCTCCTTCTGCCCATCCATCCCGCAATCTTTTCGGCTCAGGTATTGGACAGCTTGCCCGATGACTATCGGGCCGTGTGAAAGAAAAGGACGCTTTCACTCTCTCATCTCATCCTCTACCAATGGTTTTGACGGTAGGTTCGGCCCTTCGATTCGCAACCTGTGTTCACAAGAAGGGGCGCTGCGTTGAGTCGTCGATGCCGACTGCCTTCAGCCTCTGGAACTGGATTCTCGACGCTGGTGCTGCTGGAGAGCTTATACATGACAATTGCTGTCACATGGCGAGCTGTCCACAGGATGGGGGTTTGCCAGAAGCCGCTTGCGCACAGTGTACCTATTGCCACTGTTCGGTGTGTCTTTGCACTCATCAAGCAGTCCTCTGAAGACAAAACAATCAGTGTAATTACCGCACTTCGTACAGGATACGAGGAGGCCATCGGGGCAGAAGCCCGAGGGAGATGAGTGCAAATTACTGAGGCGCTCTCTGAACTCTCCTGGATACGACGTGCAATGCTCATTTGATCGATTGCGCACTGCTTCGCCAGAGGCAGAAAAGGAAGCAGGTAGCGCACCTCCAGTGTACGCGCTCTGCTCGCTGCCAGTCGTGTACTAGCGCGGAGGAGGATGACGAGGACGAGGGCGAGCACGACGACAAGGACGACGACGACGACGACGACGACGACGACGACGACGACGACGACGACGACGACGTTGACGACGGCGGCGGCGGCGGCGGCGGCGGCGCAGGCGGCGGCGGCGGCAGTGGCGACGGCGACGGCAACGGTGACCGCGGCGACGGCGACTACGAGGGAGGGAGGGAGGGAGGGGAGGAGGAGAGAGGAGGGAGGAGGAGGAGGAGCAGGGAGAATGGTGGGAGGAGACGGGAGGGGGAGGATGGAGGTTTTGATTCGAACTGCGTGCGTGGCAGAAGCTTGAGCTGGGGAAGGGTGAGCTCTGGTTGGGCCCTTCGTCGTGCGCCGATATTGGAGCGCAGGGCGGGTCTTTCCAAACTGGAGGCCCGCAAGTGTGGAGCCCCTCGCATCAAGGCAATGAAGCGTCGAAGGGGCGTCAACAGGCCGCTGGCAAGGAGTTTGGGGGAATGCAGATCGAAGGAGAGAGGCAAGCCCTAAGCTTGGGCATGCGCGCTGTAACCAGGAGCGTGAAATCAAATTCCCCCCACCTCGTAGGGCGGTAGGGCTATTTGTGCGCATGGCGGGGGCGCTGTCGTGTTGGAAACAGTGCCTCCGCCAGCAGGACGCAGGCTTTGGTATCTCGGCATCTACGCACGAAGTGCGCTCAGCAGGAGGGAAGAGAGAGAGGGAGGCAGGGAGGAATTATAGGAAGACGAGGGAGGGGCGGAGGGCGGAAGAGGAGAGGGAGGAGAAGGAGGAGGTTGGGGAGGGGGACGGACATGAGCTGAATAAAGCTGCACTGCGAGGGTGGCACAGTGCCACAGGTGACCGCTCTGGGGAGCCCATGGACCTTCTTGGAGGGGGCAGCTTGCCGAGAACTAGGGAGAGCGGCACGAGACCGTTTCGCCGAAGGCCGCTTCGCCCCGAACCGCTGCACCCCGAACCGCTGCGCTCCGAATCGCTTCGCCTGAGGAGGCTGAGGAGGGGAACGAGGCTGGGGTGGGTAGGGGGGAGGCTGGGGCGAGCAGAGCTATTGTCGGAGGTTGGGGGGTGAGATCGCAGTGAAACGGAGACCCCCCACCAGAGATCGGTTTCGGTTTCGTGTTCGTGTCGTGCGTGCGGGCGAGGCGAAGCTGCGCGTGATCCTCCTGTAGCTAGGCCGAGGTAGGAGCGAAAGTCCGTTCCCGTCCGCCCGTGGCTGTGAGGTGTCCCAGTTGGGCCGGGCGGTGTCCCAGGTGTCCCGGGTGTCAGTAGGAGCGAAAGTCCGTTTCCCGTCCGCCCGTGGCCGGGAGGTGTCCCAGTTGGGCTGGGCGGTGTCCCGGGTGTCCCGGGCGTCCCGGCGCTGACGCATGTCGCTAATTTCATAATTCATGTTTGATCTCAATCCCCCCCCCAACTTCCTTATCGCCCGCAGGGCAGTCGTATAGGTATACATTCGCTGGTACTGCGGCCAGTCTGTTTCCTGGTATTGCGTGTGGCTTAGGGTGCTCCATGGTACCACCGGAACGGCCCATTGGCGACATCAAGTCTATGATACTCGGCATGTTCTTGAATTTCCTGCTGGAATGAGGGTTCACGGTTGTGCTTGCATGACAGGGGGGGGCATGCAGTGCTACAGCGTTACAGGAGGAGGTTTGGGTGGGGAGGGGGACGGGGACGGACCAAAGTTGGATAATAAAAGCAGAGCGGCGTTTATTCGGTCTTGTCGTTTCGTCGGCTGAGACTTGCGAAGAGGGGGCGGGCATCCGCGAAGGATGGTCAAAGCCGTTATGATATTCCTAAATCGGCGGGGAGGCCGGCATGCGACCAGGAGATTGTGGCGGCACTCGTGCTGGGGAAACGAGCTCGTCCTCGGTGTGCGTGTGTTCGTTCGTATCGCCCAAGAAGAGGTGACCGTGGCCAGTGTTGGCTGTGCCCTTCAGCTCTCCACAACGCCACGAGAATTCCAGAATCTGGAGCGCTCTCTGGGGGAATTCCCGCCTCGGTCGCCAGACCCCTCGACTGCACAGCCAGAGCAGGATGCGAACCAGGATGTTGTTCTGGGATCGTTCCAGGCCGCCCTGCCCCGCGGAGGAGGAGGAAGAGGAGGAGGAGGAGGATGAGACGGAGGAGGAGGACGACTACGACGAGGCTCGAGGCGAGTGTAGGCCGTCGAGGCCTGCGTCTCGAACGCTTCAGTTCCTCGGGGGTCGAGCCTCGTGGAGTGCAGGCTTCTCATGTTCAAGAGCGTTGGCCTTGGGAGCCTGAGCTAGTTTGCATTTGTGTGCCTAATCAATGCGATTTGGAGCAATCCTCGCTTTGTGGAGATCTGCTCTGACCATGTCTTTGTTGCCAAGCAAGCGCGATGTAAACAACAACAACCCATGATTGAGCCTTGGGCGAATCCAGAGTCGCAGGGCGCGCCCCTTGTTGGTTCCCCTCGCCGCCACCGCATTACGGCCGCCTGGCAAGGACCTAGAAGCTCAGCCAGACGAGGACGGCTCGCTCTGTGCTCTCGATGTGCTGTTTGAGGCAGCTCTGCAGCTGAAGGGGAAGGAGGCCGCGCGTGGGGGCGCTAGGAAGTGGGGGAGGAAGAGGTGCAGGGGGAGACAGGACAGGGGAGTGGAGGGGGAGAGTGGAAGGGGGGCGCAGGGAGGGAGAGTGGGAGTGAGGGGTGCGCCGTGTCGCCGGCACCCGGCTGGCCTTTCGCGAATGCGCGGCTTGGTGCACTGCGAGGCGAGGGGAGCCCGAGGGGAGAGTATCACCTGCCTGGAGGACACGTGGGGTTAAGTCGGGCACGTCCCTCTACAGGAGGAACATTCGAAAATAATCAACAAATAGTCTGGGAACGATTTGTTCTACTATTTTCGGCTATGTTTGATCATGTTTGGGGTATTTTTGATTGGTCGTCCAAAATCCGCCTGTAGGGGGACAGGCCCGACCTAAACGTGGAGCCCGCAGGCCGGAGGGATCGGGGCATGCGCCACAGACTGCACGACCTCGGGCACCAGACCGCGCACAGTGAGCTCGGCGTTCACGGCCTTTCTGCACGCGGAAGGCCGCCCGCGGGGCCCTCTAGGGCTTCGCATTCCCAACACGAGCAGGTACAAAAACAACCTACGCAACATATCGAAGCAAACAAACAAACGAACAATCAAACAAACAAACAAGTAAGCAAAGAAACAGACAAACGAACAAGCAAGCAAGCAAGCAAACAAGCAGACAAACAAACCAACGAACGAACGAACAAACAATCACACACAGACACCTTCACACTCACACACACACACACACCCGCACACACACACACACAGACACAGACACCGACAACAAGAACGACGATCAGGTAAGAGACTTTAGGGGGAATTGCCCTTGGCGGGCCGTTCTCGCAGCGGGCGTCGCTTGGAGACTGATCCAGGGGGGTCCACAGCCGCCTCTCAGCGACAAGTGTGGCTGGATAGGAAAGCGACCAGATGCTTCCCCAGAGTAAGGAGGGGATCCAGGAGGCATCGGGGGCCCCTGAACGATGCGGTGACCGCATCGTGTGGCGAGTCAGTGGAGATTAAGGGTGACCGCACGGTTGTTGGGTCTTGGGTCGTCCTCGGAGGCTGTCTCAGGCGACAGGGGCCTCCAGGGTCCCAAGACCGTGCGGCAATTGGCTGTGCGGTGAGGTCTTCTAGGATTTCGGGGTCACCGCACTGTCTGTCACCGCACCACCCTGGGACCAGTATCGTCCAACCGATCCCCATCCCAATCCCCATCCCCTTCGAGACCCCCCCCAAAACTACCACCTCAGTTGGGGATACGCCCCTCGAAACCCGAAGAGAACGACCCATATCCCCATCTCGGAGGGGTAAATCGGCCAGTGGGGCCCAGGTCACGCCGCTGGGGATGGGCATCGGTTAAGCGATACTCATCCCCAGCACGGGCAGCGAGGCGGCAGCATCTGCCGCGCAAGCGGCCCCAGGCGGAGCCAGCAAACAGAGGAGGTGTCCTCCTCCTCCTCCTCCTCCTCCTCCTCCTCCTCCTCCTCCTCCTCCTCCTCCCCCTCCTCCTCCTCCTCCTCGGCCATGGGACCCCGAGAGGCGGGAGAGTGCACGGGGCAGGAGGCCGGCCGGGGCGGAGGGCCCCCGCTCGCCGGCCCCCGCCCCGCAGCGCCGGTCCGCGCAGGACCCTCCCGAGATCACCTCCGACAGCGAGCACCCGCAGGGCGACGTGCGCCGCCGCCCGCCTCCTCCCTCCCTCCTCCTCCCTCCTCCCTCCTCCCTCCTCCCTCCTCCCCCTCCCCTCCTCCTCTTCCTCCTCCTCCTCCTCCTCCTCCTCCTCCTCCTCCTCCTCCTCCTCCTCCTCCTCATCCTCCTCATCCTGCGCCCCGGTCTCCTCCTCGTCCTCCTCCTCCTCCTTTTCTCCCGCTCTCCTCCTCGTCCTCCTGCTCCTTCTCCTACTCCTCCTACCCCTCCTCCTCGTCCTCCTCCCCATCATCAACAATAGCATCATAATGACCATCATCAGCAGCAGCATCAGCAGCAGCAGCAGCACCATCATCAACATAATCACCAGCATCATCATGATCATCATCGTCATCAACAACATCAGCATCAACATCAACATAAACATAAACAACAAAACCAACATCACCATCAACATCAGCATCAACATCAGTATCATCAACATCCGCCTCTTCCTCCTTCTCCTCCCTCCTCCTCATCCTCATCCTCCTCCTCCGCCTCCTCCTCCTCTTGTTCCTCCTCCTACTCCTCCTCATCCTCCTCCCCATCATCATTAGTATCCTCATTGTCATCATGCGTCCGCTCTTTCTCTCTCCTCTTCCTCCTCCTCCGCCTCCTCCTCCGCCACCTCCTCCTCCTCCTCCTCCTCCTCCTCGTCCTCCTCCTCCTCCTCATCATCATCATCACCATCACGATAGTTGTGCCTCGAGTTTTGGGACTTTCTCGCGCTGAGACTCTGCGCGCCCTGGCTGATGGAGCGCGCGCACGGGAGGCGGCCCGCCGCGGCGTGGCTGCCGATGCACGAGAGCTTGGCCCCAGCGCCGCCCGCAGACGGCGGCGTCAGGCGGGGCGGCTCCACGCCCGCTGGTCGGCCGAGGCGCTGCCGCGCGAGGCTGCGCGCGAGCCGCACCTCTGGCGGCGGCGCTCAGAGGCCCTGGCGGACGAGCTGGAGCTCCTCCTTCTCCTCCTCATCCTCACCCTCCTCCTCCTCCCCGTCCTCCTCCTCGTCCTCCTCCTCCTCCTCCTCCTCCTCCTTCTCCTCCTCCTCCTCCTCCTCCCCCTCCTCCTCGTCATCCGCAGTGGGGCTGGGCCGCACTGGGGGCGCCGGCCGCGGCCGCAGCCTTCGCGGCCGCCACCTGCGCCGAGGCCGAGCGGGGTGACGAGCGTTTCGTGGAGCTGGTCGAGCACGCACCCGGCGTGCGGTACGTGGACGAGCAGCCCGAGGGCTCCGCGACCGAGGGAGGCGAGGCGGACGACGCGCTCACGCAGAAGGAGAGCGAGTGCGAGGGCCCCGCGATCGAGGGCGTGCGTGCGGGCGCGGCCGCGCACCAGGTGGAGATCGGCCCCGACATCGGGGGCGAGAGCGACGGCGAGGAGAAGGAGGTCGAGCTGGAGTTCGACGCGCGCACCGCGCAGGAGGAGGTGCCTTTCGAGGAGCAGGGCGTGCCCAAGCGGTTCGGGGTGACCGAGGCCCTAGCGCGGCCGCCGTCCCCCGCCGACCCGCCGAGGGGTGTCGCCCTGGTCGCGTCGCTGCTCACGCAGATCTGGAGCATGGTGGGGCACCTCGCGCGGCAGACCCTCGCCGCGGGGTGCGCGCTGCACGCCGCCTGTGGCGGCGCCCTCGGGCTCTGCTTCAACCGCATCCCTCGCCGACGCGCTGCTCTTGGCGCCGTTGCGGCAGGGCCTCCTGGCGGCCGCCGGTGCGGCTCGGAGCGGGCGCCGTTCGCGCTGGTAGCGGCGGCCCTCGCGGGACAGGCTGCTCCTGGTGCCGCCGTAGCAGGGCCTGCTCTCGGTCGCCGCTGCGGCACGGCGGGCAGCGCACAGGCAGATGCGCAGCCGCAGCACGCGCGTGGCCAGCAAGAGTGGCGGCACTGCTGAAGCGCGGGGCTCGGGAGGTGAGGGCAGCGCCACGTCCAGTGCCGAGCTCGCCGTCGTTGTGGCTGAGGAGCCCGACGACTCTCCTTGGGGCACGCGGTGCCCGCTCGGCCACCGCCTCAAAAGGATGGGCGGCCGAGCGGCACAGTGCGCCGTGTGCCGCGCGATGATAGCTGCCCCTCGGTGCTCTGGGGCGGCTGGGCGCGGCTCGATATGCTCGCCCGACGGCCCCGCGGAGGCCGTCGGCGGTCCGTCTCCTGGTCCTGGGGCGCTCGTGACCGCCGAGCCCGCAAGGGCTCGTGTGGAGGGGCGGACTGTGCGCGATGCCCCTGGTGCCCTCAGACGGCAGGGGTCATGGCGGCAGTCTGCCCGTCTGGCTGGCGGACCCGCGCGGCCGCCAGCGTCTTGGGGCGTTCGGGGTTCCCTCATCGCCCGCCCTGCCCTGGGGGCCTGGGGGCTCCGTAGGTGTGCATGCCGAATGCAATGTGGCTGAGCCGAGCCCCGCTCTCCCAGACCACACCGACAACACCAAATCAGCATCATCATGATGATCATCATCATCATCATCATCATCATCATCATCATCATCACCATCATCATCATCATCATCATCAGCAGCAGCAGCATCAGCAGCATCAGCATCAACATCATGATCATCATGATCATCATCGTCGTACTCCTGCCCCTCCTCCTCCTCCTCCTCCTCCTCCTCCTCCTCCTCCTCCTCCTCCTCCTCCTCCTAATCATCAGCATCATCTGCATCATCATCATCAGCAGCATCAGCAACAGCAGCATCATCATACTCCTGCTCCTCTTATTCTTCTTCCTATCCTCTCCCTCCTCCTCATCATCACCAGCATTAGCAACATCATCACCACCACCATCATCATCAGCAGCAGCACCATCATCATCCTCATCAGCAGCATCATCAGCCGCCTCCTCTTCCTCCTCGTACTCCTTCTCCTCCCCCCCATCATCATCAGCAGCAGTATCATCATCAGCATCTCTCATCCTCTTCCACATCAGTATCAGTATCAGCATCACCATCACCACTATCATAAGCATCCTCAGCATCAGCATCCGCATCATCACCATCACCAGCAGCATGTGAATCCTCATCCTCTTTCCTCATCTTTCCCCTCCTCCGTCTGCTCCTCTTCTCTTCTTCATCATCAGCAGCATCAAAATCAGCATCATCTTCAGCAGCATCAGCATTGTCATTATCATCATCATCGTTATCAGCATGGTCAGCATCAGTATCATCGTCATCATAATCATTATCATCATCATCATCATCATCATCATCATCATCAGCAGCATCAGCATGAACATCAGCATCATCATCATCATCATCATCATCAGCAGCAGCAGCAGCTGCATCATCATCATCATCATCCCTCCACCTCCTTCTCCTCCTCCTCCTCCTCCTCTTCCTCCCTCCTCCGTCCTCCTCATTCCTCTTCCTCCTCCTCCTTCTCCTCCCCCTCCTCCTCCTCATCCTCCTCATGCTGCTCCTCCTCCTCCTATTCCTCCTCCTCCTCTTCCTTCTCCTCCTCTTCCTCATCGTCATCCTGCTTCCACTCCTCATCCGTGCCCCTCTTCCTCCCTCCTCTGCCCTGCTCCATCCTCCCTCCTACCTCATCCCTCATCCCTCCTCTATTATGTATCCTTCTTCCTCATCCTCCTTCTCCCCTCTTCTTCTTGAGGACGCTCCGCCTCCTTCTCCCCTCTTCCTCCTCCTTCTCCTTCTCCTCCTCCTCCTCCTCCTCCTCCTCCTCATCATCATCATCATCACCATCATCATCAGCAGCAGCCTCATCATCTCTCCTCGTACTCGTCCTCCTCCCTCCTCCTCCTCCTCCTCCTCCTCCTCCTTCTCCTCCTCTTCTCCCCCACTGACGACCTGCATACTCAGTCAGAAGAGCACAGGTCAGTCTATGTGTGTGTGTGTGTTGCAAGTTTGCCCCAGCTTACTAGCTCAGCTTCGCTGAGATAAGATTCGCTTAGCTCGGCATTACTTCGTTTGGCTCAGTCTCGCCGGGCGCTTCTTACTAAAATCGAATAGCTGGAGCTAGCGTTGCTGAGCCTGTTCCAGCAACAGAGCTTGTACCGAGTGGGTTTGATAAGTCGTCAAAGGCTTGTCCGTGGTTGCCCACCATCCATTTGCTTGGTTCGGCTGGTCCCCGCAGTTCACTGCCCTTTCTGCTGCTCCTGGCTGCCGTCAATGCACGTGCTTCGGCTGGTCGCGGCTGTTCCATGTAAATCCTGTTGCGCCTAGCTGCCAGAGATTTGTTTGGAGCAGCCGTTCGCAGTTATCCTTGGATGTTCCGATTGCACTTGGCTGATAGAGATCTATTTGATTAGATTGATCTTGGCGCTTCTTGTCCGTTCCGATCACACATGGTTATAGGGGGGCATTCGGTTTCTGGACGATCTTGCGGTCAAAACTCAACTTGGTTGCCTTGGACTCTTTTGTAATGTTTGTTTGCTGGTACTCCTCTTGCACCAAGCTTCCAGGGATTCGTTTGCTTCGAGTGTTTCTGGTTGTTCCCGTCCTTTCACGCAAGTATGAGAATGTGTTTGGTTATGTGTGTGTGTTTAGATCGGCGATGTTCAAGATTACGACCGTGCGATAGTTCAGCCTGACTCAAACTACATGATATTGGCTTGGCCTGGCGTGATTTGGGTTGGATATGCTTGGTTTGCTAAGCTGAAGCTAAGTCATTGTTCGTCTGCGTGTTCCCACTGGCCAATCCAGAAAATGTTGATGAGCGAGTTTTCGTGAGCCGAGGAGCACCAGTGGAAAAGATGGAGAATGCGTAGAAAATACACCAGCTGTTCATGGTAGCAGAGCGGGGTGACCCATCCAACACCCCAAGTAGAACCCGGCTGTAATGGAACAGGCTCTTGCAAAGAGAGGAAAGGAATCAGATTTGCTTCGGGGTGCACGTTGAGTATGAGCGTGAACGCAGCAGGAAGATTGTCCCAGCCTTCCCTTTCAGGTCAAGCTGCCTTCGCGGGCGTGCCGGAGCCGCCTTGACTGGAGCGTGTGCGGATGATGTTGCGCGTTGAGCCCCGATATCTCCCGAGAGGATGTGTGAGTCCGCGTCC